TCATGTCTTTAGACTGAAAGTTCACAGTGCATTTGCAATGTTCACAAGGCTCCCCTAATTCCCAATTTTATTTTATATCTTGATTTTTAGCGTATGGCAGGTACCACCATGTCCTTTCGGTCTACTTATTAGAGATGATTAGTGATTATTAGTGATGATCCGTCTGCTTATTTATTTTTACCTGGGATTGGTTATCGCATCATGTTGTGTTTTCCTTTCAGTGCAGACTAGTTTTAAAATGACATCAAAAGTTCCATTAGTGTCATTACTTAAGAAAATACAAGGAAAAAGTTAACAAGATCCTCTTCTATTTCATTTCATACATCCTGGATTTTCCCTTAGCGTTTATTTTCAAAGATGAGTTGGCTTATAAATCCATATACTTTTAATACCTATAACTTGTTCTGAAAACGCTATTTGTTTTTTTCTAGGAGAAATCTATATGATTAGATGGAAAAAAAAAAGAATTGAATAATAAAGTAATTCTAGCGAAGCGTAGATATTGTAAAAATACAAAAAAAAATGAAAGTTTTACTCTCGTTAAGAGGTAAATATGAACTTAAAGTCAGGTGAAGTGAACTTTTCATTTTCTGAGGACAGATGATCAATTTGTGGAGTGAGTGTACTGCTGACATTGCTGTCATCCCACGCCAAGCCCATTGGTAAACTATCACTTTTTTCTGTTGCCAGTAGCAAACTGCTTTTCCATTAATGGAGAATTCATGCCTTTCAAGCATTTTAAATATGACAATATTTATAAATGTGTGGTTCAGAGGAATTGTTTAAATTCTCTTTCCTAATTTTCTCTTCAGGATAGATTCTTTCAACAAGTAATTTGTAGTAATGACTGTGTTGACTTCAATTTTGGAGCGTAGTAGCTATGTTAAAGATTAACTATTTGGTCTCATTGAAGCCAACATAGAACTTGCTGCTGTGTTTTTTCTTCAGTGATAAATAAAATACTTACAGAAAAAAAAAAAAATTCAGCAGCCGTCTCCTTCTTGAGTTTCCCAAATAGACTGTGTTCTCCTTGCCTTAGGCCTGTGCATGTGTACACGTGTCCTGGTGTCGGTCATTTTTGTCTAACCCTCTTTTCCTGGATAACTTCTACTTACATTGAAAATCTTAGCTCAAACATCTGTCCACTATCAGTTCACTGAAATCCTAGAAAGTTGTAGATTCCTCTACATACTTTGAGCTTGCATTACATTGTAATTCTACATTGATCTGTGTAGTCCTGTGATTAATGCCCACCTTTCGACTATTCGCTCCACAAACGTAAGGACTCATTTTTCCTTTCTCTTCTTCACCATTGTATTCTTCCCAACAACTAACGTACAGTAGTTGCTTTATAAATAGGTTTTTGAATGGATGATCTTACTTTTAAAAGATAGTGCCTTTGAGAAGGCACTAAAATTTATATGACTTAGGACATTGTCTCCTACTTCTAAAACACCTTTGTGAGTAAGACGCTAGAATAGGCGTCTTCCACTGCCAAAGCTCCTTTTCTGAGTAAATCCGTGGACATCAGTATAGAAAAAAGGAACTGCTTTCTGTAAAACTGCAACTAACACTGCTGGGCTCTAAGGGGGAAGTTTTAAGTGAAATGATAAAGGAAGAAAAGAAAAGAAAGCTGTGACCGCACCTTCCCAATTCTGGTCCATTCTGCTTGAGGAAAGGGAGGAAAAAGAAGAGTTTACCAAAATAATACAAAGGCCAACAAACTAATTTAACAGATAATAAAGTATCAGCTTCTTTTATTCAAAGATTATTAGTGTTCTATGTTGTTTTGCTTGAATTATTTTTATACTCTAAAGAATGACAAACATGTTTCTAATTATGTGTAAATATTAGATTCAATTTTATTCATAAACACACTGAGAAATAATCTATTAAGTACTATTTTAACACATTTTGACTAATTTTGCTTATTTTTTTGTTGACATTTCTCTCCCCATTGTCTTTAGCACGATTAATCAATAACTACCTATATTCTCTGACAGTGACAAATTGATGGGGTAAGAAATTAGTTTGATATAAATGAAATAAATGAAACTTCCCCTTGGAATTTATTTCCCTTTTTAATCTATTTTTTTAATATGTTGGAATACTCAGTTATATCTTGATAAGAAATTATAGAATATGATAATAGCACTTTAAGTTATTATTATTAAATGTTTAATTTCTGTGACAGAAATTGGAGTTTGGAATTACAGTCATGCTATTTGACTGCTTCTGCCTATGGTCCTATTAAAAGCTAGGCATTTAGAGGTATAACTGTATATAATCATAATTGCATTTTGATAGCCATTACATTCTAGCAAGAAATTCGCAAATCATAAGCTGATATAGCCCAATGAGTTTTTACAGAAGGAGCATGCTCAAGTGGCCAGCACTGAAATCAAGAAATAGGACATGACCCACCTCCCAAATGCCTTCATAGCACCTCACTCCAGTACAAACCATCTTCCCAAAGGTAACCACAATCTAGACTTTTCATGGGATAGATTACTATCACGCACTCTTTTCCATCTGGTTTATAACCTTCCTGTTTTTTAGACTCAGCCATGTTGATCTACATAGCTATAGTTCATTCATTTTCATGGCCTAATAGTATTTCAGTAAATGAATATTACACTACTTATTTATCTGTGTTACTATGATGTTTCCATTTTTTAGCTATTATGGATAATAGCTATGAACATTCTTATACATGTCTTTTGGTAGACATAGAGACACAGTCCTGTAGGGTGTGTACTTAGGAATGAAATTGATGGGTCATAGCTTCTGCATGTATTCTGCCTTAGTAGATACTTCCAAACAGTTTTCCAGAGTATTTGTACCGATCTACACTCCCTTCGGCAATACGAGTTCCAGTTTCACATTTTCTTGAAAATGTCTCTTTCATTTCGCAGTTATATACACATGATGTGTGCCATGTGAATTAATTTAACCTTTATTAATTAAACTTTCTAAATTTTTAAACATAACCTTTTTCACCTTATTAACCTAAATTGGGTTTACATCCTAGAGAGCAAGGGCCATGCGCTGGATGTGTTTTTGTTAAGATGAATGTTGCCTCTATAGAGTGCTCCACTAAAAGGCAGTAGATAGAGTAGGAGAGAAATCCTAAGAAGAGGAACAATACAAATATATTTTATCGAGAGAGCCATACATTTAGCAGAGGATCCCTCTTGATTTTTGTTAAATTTCAGTTTCGATTTATGTATTCATACACTCAACTCCATGTTGGTGCTAAAAAAAAAAATCGTTGCTTTCCATTGTCTACATGTTGTAGTTAACAGCTTCCTGTTTTTACTCTGTAGTGTAAAAGGATAATTAGAAGTTATATTTCCCCTGATGGTGAGCCTGACTGCATTCCTTTAGGAAGATGGTTTTGTTTTTTATATCTAGCTAAGTTATTTCTCTCTCTTCACCCACCAGTGCCCAAAGTGAACAGAAGCAGCAAGCCCAACACCAAACTCTTCCTTAACTCCTTAAAGAAACAGAGCCAGCCAGTGTGCCTAAAAGGTACATCCAGGTGTCTAAGGACATAAAGAAAACCCAGTTGCAATTCTCTTTTACCCAGTTGCTTTCTAAATAAGCAAATAAAGGTTGGGAAGAGTAACAGCCTCACCCCAATGCCTTGATGGCATTTAATAGTAAAAGCTCTTCACTGAAAATAAGAGATTTCTATAGAAATGATAATCAACCCCCTGGGAGTATATGGAGCTCATAAAACCCGAATTTCTAAAGGTCAGCAAGCTTGAAAGGTTTTGTCCTGAGGATAAATTTCTAAATAGCCCTGAGGAGAAAGAGAGTGAGCTAGCGAGGGCGGGAAGGAAAAAAAAGTTGAACTGGATGAAAGTCAAACATGCAAACTTAACAGTTTTTGGATTATCATTTAATTACAACCATCAATCACTTCACATCTGTCTTCTCTCAGTACTCAAGAAATTTCATCTAAAGCCATACTATCCAACCAACACAGCATGTATAGCCCATTAAGGATGGGAAGAAATATTTAAAAAATTATCCTGTAGAAGATTTTAGGAAATTAACCTAAAAAACAGGATAGTAGAGTGCATCTTTGGGCAAATACTAGGAAAACCCATAGTAAAATAATCCTTTTAATTAATAAGATAAACATGTTCTGTTTCTTCCTCTGTACCAGTTTAGCTGTGAACATGGTGATCATTTTCAAAGGGCTTTGCTTTCCAAATCAGTTTATTTCAAGCCCTATTTATACTAATGTATGAAACTGGTCTGCAGTTAGTCATTTTATGAACATGATTTTACATTCTTTTAAAATGATGTCCATTTAATGTTGAGCTTTTGGAAATGCGTTTGCTCTGTCAATTGGCTCTTAGGAAATCCCAGCAAATGTCCTTATGGACAGCTGTTGTTATTTTTAAGATTTAAACTATTTTAATTTCTTTCCATCGAGGGGTTCATACTGACTGTCCCAAAATTTTGTAGCCAAGGAATTAAACGGCTTTAGGCTTTTTAAGCTCCGGTGTGTTCAATAAAGTGTTTCAACTGTGGCAATCCCCTTGTGGTGCTGCATTCATCTCCCACTGTATACCTACATGCTTCCCTCTTCTTCTCAGGCAGATAATTGCAAAGGGGTTGGAACCAGAGAAAAGAGTTGAACTGGTGCTGAGCAGTGGATATAAAAAAAAAAAAGTGTCACCCTGGTGGAAGTGAATAGACTCTGAGACTATAATCTCTGCTCTTATTTATTTCTAAAACCATAAATGCCCAGGGGGGAAGCTTGTTGTTTATTTGTCTACAGAAATCTTTGTCTGCAGTCATGTATGGTTTTTAACTGGTTTTTATTTCCATACATTCTATTGTAGCAGTCTTCTGTCTTGTACCACCTTGTTGTCTTTTTTCTCTCTGAATACGGATTTCATCGCAATGTTGTTGTTGGCCATAGCCTTCAAGATTCTTTGTGCTTTTAAAATAACAGTTTGTCCATTACCTGTTTTTTCCAACAGAGTTCATCTGGCGATTTAATGATCAGAAACATTCAGCTGAAACACAGTGGGAAATACGTTTGTATGGTGCAAACTGCAGTGGACAGTGTTTCATCTGCTGCCGACCTCATAGTAAGAGGTAAACATTAGTGCCTTCCCGTGTGTTTTTAACTTCACATCTTAACTGAGCATTCTGCACCGGATGAAAAACCATGATGAGATAGCACATGAGCATAGGAGTTATAATATTGGTTTGACCCCCCACCCCAGAACAGAGACTACGACAAGAAGGATAGGTGCTAATTCAAAGAAATCAAAATCTCAGCTCTGCCCTTCAAATAGCTCTCACTGTAATTGGCATGCCACAGCTGCTGCCAGGCTGATGTGTTTTTGAGCATGCCATTAATTCCGCGATTGTATTCGATACGAGAGACAATACCGCGCATTTGTGTGCCTGCTTCCAAAAGAATCTGGTTTATTTGGAATGTCTGGGGAAATTTGCCAACCTGAGCTACTGTCCAGAGTGCTGATTCGTTACTGGGCTGAAAAATGACCAGAATGCTTCATAGAATAAAACACCTCTAGCTAACAGATTGGGAAACACAGAGGTGTGCCCGTGGAAAGGCATCACACCAAAAGTAAAGGACACTGAATTTGGAAAGGTACGGAAATCCTGCTGAACAGAGGCCTCAAAAAGCAGGTGTCATCTGCAATCAGGGAGTAGTATTATGGTTTGGGAATTACTGCCTCACATCCAGATTTAACATCATATAACAGAAAGGTATGTGTGTGTGTGGGGGGGTGGAGGAGGGAAGGGTTTTGAAAGGTAAATGGCCTTTTTTTCCTAAGTGCTTTTGAAATTGGGATCAGCTGGAGGTATTGAAGGGGTCACGTGATGTTCTCTTCCCTTTGGTAGAAGAGGATGCCATTTATGAAAGTGCTATGCACTGCTTGCATTTGTGCCTTGCTTAGGTTCACCTGGGCCACCAGAAAATGTGAAGGTAGACGAAATTACAGATACAACAGCCCAACTCTCTTGGAAAGAAGGTACAGACAACCATAGCCCAGTTCTGTCCTATTCTATCCAGGCGAGGACACCCTTCTCCGTGGGCTGGCAAACCGTCACAACAGGTAAAGGGGGAAGAGGAAGATGTACATGGATTTCAGGTCAGTGCTACGGCGTGCAGACTCTTACCTCTCTGAAACATTCCTTGGCAGTGCCCGAGGTCATCGGCGGGAAAACGTACACAGCCACTGTGGTCGAGTTAAACCCATGGGTGGAATACGAATTCCGGGTTGTAGCCAGTAACAAAATTGGAGGTGGAGAACCCAGTTTACCCTCAGAAAAAGTAAGAACTGAAGAGGCAGGTTAGTGTTTTTGTTTTCTGAGTAATGGGTTAATAGATGTCCCCGGGGGGGGGGTATTTTCCTTTCCCCTGACTCTGAGCTCCTGGCCAGCAGGCGCTGAGCCTCAATAATGCAGTGTCATGGTGACATAGTAAAGACTCGGCCCTTGCGGTCCACCCTGATTACTGGACATCGCTTATTAGAATTCTTAGCCAAAAAGAGGCATAGAAACCTTCTCTTTAAACACATGAGAAGAAATGGCATTTTGGTAGTATATTTAGGAACACAAAAGGAAAAGGATTATTGAGAAAACTTAGCCAACAGCTAAGTTGGCTAAGTTCATCTGTCAAATATTAGTAACTTGTTTTATAAACGGGGCAGAGATCGAAAGTGTCCTTGTTCCTCCCTTTGCACACAGTCCCAGAATACAAAATGAATGAAAGATGGGCTTTCTGTTCTCTAGAATCAATTATATTTCCTCTTTCCTTCTTGATTTTCACCTTCAGTGTGCTAAAACTTTGCTTGAATAGCCCATAATGCTTCTTCAATAAATGTATCTCTGGAAGGATCCCTGTCTGTTTGTTTACTTTTCCAACCATAAGATTTCCCTGAAGGTCCACATTTTATTCTATTAGCATAATAACAAAGTTAAGTTTTTAAAAAATAATAATAAGCCATTGTTTCAATTATCTGACCTTTCTAATGGCAGGACTGGCCATATGGCATTTGTCAAGAGAAACATGTGTTAAGTGATTCTGATGTAGGGTGACATTTCCAAGAGTTCAGTTCATCGTAAACGATCATTAGTGCATGTTGAGTGAATATGTTTTTGTCACTTAAGGTTATAATTACTATCTGACATAGTTACCCTGTTAACAGGGGAAGTGCTGTTTTCATTTATAACAAGCATTGACAAATTGGTAGGATAATGACATTTGGGAGTTGTGCAGCTAGGAAATCTCATTCTGCCACCATGCTCAGTGAATGAGCCTAAGCAAGTGATGAATAGGTATATTTTGTCCCCTCAAGTGTTAAATTAAGAGAGAATCATTGTTAAGAATTTATACATGAGGCAACCATTATTATATAGACCATTAGACTTCTTTTATAAGTCTAAAAATATCCTAACATCAAAACTCAGAATTAGAAAGTGTACATAGCGTCACATTATAGAGACAGCTGAAGAGACAAAGGGACTTCTCTTTTCAAAATCTGTAATATTAGTTAATATTAACTGAAATGATGTTTGAAATAGAGCTGGTGTATCACTCTAGGAACTAAGCTAAGATGGAAGTCATAGAATGTGTTTCATTAATTTTAATGATGCTGTTTTACTCAGGACAATGCACATGATGTTTGTGCTAGGTGACAAGAGACGTAGGGGAGCTGAGCCTGTCCTGGTGTTCTGGTCATTTGTTCACACCACATGCATGTAGGGAGTGTCTACCACGTGCTCAGAGCCTTCTAGAGATTGCAAGTCCAGCTGTGAACACAACAAAGACTCACCTTCCTGAAACTTATATTCTACTCATGTCATAGAGTTTACTATTCCTAAAGTTCCCAGTGTACATGAGAACCCTGATGCCCACGAGAGATTTCTATAGATTCCCTCATAACGAGATTCAAGGGTTCAAGTCTGGGTCATTCTTATATAAAGCAATGTTGTTCTGAGAATTATATCTTTACTTGAAATAGTCGCAAGTTAAATGTTCATGCTAGATTGATTTCTCATCATCCCTCCTGGTGAGTCACCTTTCCTTGTTTTACTGACTTGCATACTTTTTGCAAAGTATCTTCCAAATGGGACACATTTTTGTGTTGGAGAGATTTTGAATCTTTCAGAATTTCATGCAAAAATATAAATTGCTTCATGATCTCATCAAAGATGTATATACACGTATGTAACATGTATGTGTATATATACACACATAAACACATATATATGGATATATAATGTGTCAAGGGTGAAATTATTTTAAGTATTAAAATGCTGGAAACTCAGACTTGTGGGGAGGAGGAAAGGGCATTTATTGAAACCTTAAAATCTGTACCCCCAAAAGTATGCCGAAATAAAAAAAAAAATAAAAAATAATGTGAATGGGAAAAAAAAAAGATACAAGCTGGAGAAAAATACTTGTGAAAATAAAGCCTTCTCTTTCAGAAAGCAAAAAAAATAAATAAATAAGCATCATTGAGTCTTCTTTCAGATAAGTATTACTAAACGCACATATGGTTTCGTCTCTGTTTCCTGGCCCACGCAGTTCCAGAAGTGCCGCCTTCCGAAGTCAATGGAGGAGGTGGAAGCCGGTCTGAGCTCGTGATAACCTGGGATGTAAGTGTTTGGGCAGCGCCTGCCCTGCCAGATTGTTGCTATCCCCACGATCTTCACGGCCTCCTGGGCGGTGCTGGTGCTGCTGGTGCTGGTGGTAGTGGTTGCACTTGTAGCCCCAGTATTTTTGATGCCTCCTCTGTGTGCCAACCATTGCTCCTAGCATTGACCATATATTTTCCTCATTTCATGCCTGCGGCATTTTATTGGCTCAGAGATAATACATAATTGGTCAGGGTCACCTGGCTGGCAAACACAGGGACGAGAGTCATGTCCAGGCTGCTTCCTCTCGAGCTTCCCTCACAGATCCGTGAGCAGCCCCCCACCACCCAACAGGTGACCCACTTACCCCAGCAGGTGCCTGCTTCTCAGTGTCTTTCCTGGCCATTCTCTCAGCCCTCGCCTTATGTCATGATTTCACAAATTTTACAAAGTTTAGTTAACAAGTTTAAAGTCAGTAGGTACCAGAATGATAGTATTATTTGAAGATGTGGATGAAAAAAATGAAATATCAAGAGATTGTGATGGAGTATCACCAAAAATTTTTAACATGACTCAAGTACAGCTTGTTTAACTAATTAGGAAATTAGTATTTAATTCTCTTCTTTCTAGTTTTACTCCTTTGTACTTAATCTTATTACATCAGTGTTTCTTTCCATAAAGTCAACATTAAGTGTTAGATCATTTTTATTTGATTTAAGAGATCAGATATATTCCACTGCAAGTATGTCTTGTAATTATAAACCCAGACTTGGGCCATAAGATGCTAAGACTATCTGAATAAACATGGAAAATTACAGTCCATTACCTGGATAGCTATGAAAGGTGCCTCTGTCAGTTTAAAAGCAACTGACGTGACTCTCCCATCAATGTTTTTCTCTTTTTTTTTATTCAACTTCTTAATACGATATCAATTATTATTTGATGATTTTTATAAATGAGTGTGGATTATAGCTCCATTCATTTCTGCCTTGCACTCGAATGGAAGGGTGATTCAGTATGTCTTTCCTTTATAGCCAGTCCCTGAAGAACTACAGAATGGTGAAGGTTTTGGGTACGTTGTTGCTTTCCGCCCTCTTGGGGTCACCACCTGGATCCAGACAGTGGTGACATCCCCCGATACCCCAAGATATGTCTTTAGGAACGAAAGCATCATGCCATTTTCACCATACGAAGTCAAAGTGGGTGTTTACAACAACAAAGGTGAAGGACCGTTTAGCCCAGTGACAACAGTGTTCTCTGCAGAAGAAGGTATGGAAAACATGATTATGTATCAGTTCCATCCTAATAAACCATTTGGTTTGGAAGTTCCAGAAATTTCCAGAAAAACAATTTGCAAGTTCTTTGTAACTTTAGATATATTTTTCCAAAAGAACAATGACCAAAGTTATGGTTCTATTCCCAGTTCAGGTCATACAGATCACCCGTAACTGACTTGAAGCATAAGGCCTAATAGTTTCCATAGCAGTAGTACTAGTTTATGTTCCCCCCAAAATAGACCTGCCATTATATCCAGCAACCCCACTGCTGGGTACTTTCCCAGAGGAAAAGAAGTTATTTTATTAAAAAGGCACCTGTGCATGAATGTTTATCTCAGCACAATTCATAATTGCAAAGATGTGGCACCAACGTAAGTGCCCATCAATTGATGAGTGGATATACACCATGGATTATTACTCAGCCATAAAAGGGGATGAAATAATGTCTTTTGCAGCAACTTGGATGGAAGTGGAGACCATTATCCTACATGAAGTATCTCAGGAATGGAAAAACAAACATCACATGTTTTCACTTATAAGTGGAACTAAACAAAAGATATATATGGTCATAAAGGGTATAATGGCATCAAAACTAAGAAGGAGGGGTAGGAGAAGGCTGAGATACAAGTCTACCTGTCAAGTACAATGTACACTGTTCTGGTGACGGGTAAAGCCCTGACTTCAGCATGGTACAATTCATCCGTGTAACAAAACCACTTGTAACCCTTAAATTTTGGCAATAAAAAAAGACTTAATGGATACTTAGAGGATGTAATGATTAGTTAAATCTGTTTATGCAGAATCATCCTGTGTTCCAGCTTGTAAAGCAGAGAACAGCCAACCTTCCCTGGGGGTAAAAATATATGTTCCCTTGGAGTTACCCTAGTCCGAAGTTTTGCGGTGGTCCTATGACCTAAGAAAGAACGTTAGCAAATGAGAGTGAGGACCAGAAGTATAACATTCTAGATGTGGAATGAATTCCAACTGGTGTAGATTATACATGCTTCACTCTGGTCCTATTCCATCCCTCTGCCTTTCCTTTGTACCTGCCCAGATATTGAAATGCATACATGGTTTCTTAAGACATTTAGAAAAAAATAATGAAGTTAGGAGAATCATACTAAATTGTTTTTTTTTAGATCATTGACAACTGAATATGGCTGTTTCATGTAGTTCTCACTATTAAAATGGCAGGAGCTAACAGTATTGAATGCTTACCATCTGCCAGACATTACCTAATTTGAATTTTCAAATGACAAATAAAGTAGAGGTACTGTTATTATTTCCCATTTACAAATGATAAGAAGGGAACTTTGAGAAAGAGATTAATAAATATGCCAAACCCTAATAGTATGTGGTAGAACCAGTATTTAACCAAGGGTCTTTGCACTTTTACCCACTCTGAGCTCATTAAATGTAATATGCGTTGTGCCCTCACCTCCAGACTGACATAAATTGCAAAAGTGCTCAACAGTTGTCATCCCTAAAAATAAGTACAGTCAATTTTTCTTAAGATCACCACCTTTATTGTCTTATCATTTCCCTTGAGTTAAGAGGAATGAAAATCACAGATATTGTAAAAGTCCTTGCAAAAGAAATAGTCTTAAATTCATCGACACACCCCATTCTGACAGCTTTCAGGGATTACAGGAGCAGGTTGGGGGCTGGGAAGAGATGACATTGCCCAGGAGTTTTCAGACCACTGCCCCATACATCCAGGACCTGGGGGCTGGCAGCTGAAGAGAGGGACCCATGGCTTTCTACCCATTCTCAGCTCCTTCACTTTCCTTCTCTTGTTACCATTCTTTCCCTACTGGCGAATTAGTTAAAAGTCTTTCTGTTCAAACACCAGGAACAGGTTCAGCTATCGTAAGAAAAAAGCAAAAGATTTATTGGAATATATTAGGATATCTCGTTCAATCAAGAGAGGGTTAAATAGCAAACATCATGGAGAACCTTAATCAGAGAAGCTCCAGGGCCTCAGAATAGTCCTCTGCTGCAGAGCACCTGCCCCAGATTGATTGGCCCCAAGTACTCCTCGTCTCTCCAAACAAGTTTCAAATTCTCAGGAGAGAAAATCTAATAGGCCCATCCTCAGACCAGGAATCGATCTCAGCATCAATCAGCCATGGCCAGGGAGCAGGATCATTTAACACAGACATGGATATTGGACATGGGGAGGTTCCTGCTCAGAGCGTGTCTGAGAGGGGAGAATCACTTTGAACCCCAAGAGTGTTCCCTACAGAGGGATCTTACTGTGCAAACCACGTGCATGTCTATCTGCTCCTTGAGAAGAGCGGGCCACCCATCTCCTTTGAGTGTGTCCTTCTGTGTGATTAGACTGAAGAAGGCACTCACTCCATACTTACTGAGAAAACAGACTTTATTAACTTTGACCTTTGTTTGGCAAACAAAAATAAGCAAGTGTTTATGGGCATAGGAGTTTCCAGCAGTATGTAAATCAGAGGAGAGAAAAGGTGGAGGAACAAAGAGAACAAAGGGAAGAAAGGAAGATACCAACAAAGAAGTACATCTCTCTCTTTTTTTAAGAAGGTATGGAAAACATGATTATGTATCAGTTCCATCCTAATAAACCATTTGGTTTGGAAGTTCCAGAAATCTCCAGAAAAACAATTTGCAAGTTCTTTGTGACTTTAGATATATTTTTCCAAAGGAACAATGACCAAAGTTATGGTTCTATTCCCAGTTCAGGTCATAAAGATCGCCCGTAACTGACTTGAAGCATAAGGCCTAATAGTTTCCATAGCAGTCGTACTAGTTTATGTTCCCCCAAAAATAGACCTGCCATTATATCCAGCAACCCAACTGCTGGGTATTTTCCCAGAGGAAAAGAAGTTATTTTATTAAAAAGGCACCTGTGCATGAATGTTTATCTCAGCACAATTCATAATTGCAAAGATGTGGCAGCAACATAAGTGCCCATCAATTGGTGAGTGGATATACACCATGGATTATTACTCAGCCATAAAAGGGGATGAAATAATGTCTTTTGCAGCAACTTGGATGGAAGTGGAGACCATTATCCTAAATGAAGTATCTCAGGAATGGAAAAACAAACATCACATGTTTTCACTTATAAGTGGGAACTAAACAAAAGATATATATGGTCATAAAGGGGTATAATGGGCATCAAAAACTAAGAAGGGGGAGGGTAGGAGAAGGGCTGAGAGATACAAGTATACCTGTCAAGTACAATGTACACTGTTCTGGTGACGGGTAAAGCCCTGACTTCAGCATGGTACAATTCATCCATGTAACAAAAACCACTTGTAACCCTTAAATTTGGGGCAATAAAAAAAGACTTAATGGATACTTAGAGGATGTAATGATTAGTTAAAAATCTGTTTATGCAGAATACATCCTGTGTTCCAGCTTGTAAAGCAGAGAACAGCACAACCTTCCCTGGGGGGTAAAAATAATATGTTCCCTTGGAGTTACCCTAGTCCGAAGTTTTGCGGTGGTTCCTATGACCTAAGAAAGAACGTTAGCAAATGGACAGTGAGGACCAGAAGTATAACATTCTAGATGTGGAATGAATTCCAACTGGCGTAGATTATACATGCTTCACTCTGGTCCTATTCCATCCCTCTGCCTTTCCTTTGTACCTGCCCCAGATATTGAAATGCATACATGGTTTCTTAAGACCATTTTAGAAAAAAATAATGAAGTTAGGAGAATCATACTAAATTGTTGTTTTTTTAGATCATTGACAACTGAATATTGGCTGTTTCATGTAGTTCTCACTATTAAAAATGGCAGGAGCTAACATGTATTGAATGCTTACCATCTGCCAGACATTACCTAATTTGAATTTTCAAATGACAAATAAAGTAGAGGTACTGTTATTATTTCCCATTTACAAATGATAAGAAGGGAACTTTGAGAAAGAGATTAATAAATATGCCCAAACCCTAATAGTATGTGGTAGAACCAGTATTTTAACCAAGGGTCTTTGCACTTTTACCCACTCTGAGCTCATTAAATGTAATATCGCTTGTGCCCCTCACCCTCCAGACCTGACAATAAATTGCAAAAAGTGCTCAACAGTTGTCATCCCTAAAAATAAGTACAGTCAATTTTTCTTAAGATCACCACCTTTATTGTCTTATCATTTTCCCTTGAGTTCTAAGAGGAATGAAAATCACAGATATTGTAAAAGTCCTTGCAAAAGAAATAGTCTTAAATTCATCGACACACCCCATTCTGACAGCTTTCAGGGATTACAGGAGCAGGTTGGGGGCTGGGAAGAGATGACATTGCCCAGGGAGTTTTCAGACACTGCCCCATACATCCAGGACCTGGGGGCTGGCAGCTGAAGAGAGGGACCCATGGCTTTCTACCCATTCTCAGCTCCTTCACTTTCCTTCTCTTGTTACCATTCTTTCCCCTACTGGCGAATTAGTTAAAAGTCTTTCTGTTCAAACACCAGGAACAGGTTCAGCTATCGTAAGAAAAAAAGCAAAAGATTTATTGGGAATATATTAGGATATCTCGTTCAATCAAGGAGAGGGTTAAATAGCAAACATCATGGAGAACCTTAATCAGAGAAGCTCCAGGGCCTCAGAAAATAGTCCTCTGCTGCAGAGCACCTGCCCCAGATTGATTGGCCCCAAGTACTCCTCGTCTCTCCAAACCAAGTTTCAAATTCTCAGGAGAGAAAATCTAATAGGCCCATCCTCAGACCAGGAATCGATCTCAGCATCAATCAGCCATGGCCAGGGAGCAGGATCATTTAACACAGACATGGATATTGGACATGGGGAGGTTCCTGCTCAGAGCTGTGTTCTGAGAGGGGAGAATCACTTTGAACCCCAAGAGTGTTCCCTACAGAGGGGATCTTACTGTGCAAACCACGTGCATGTCTATCTGCTCCTTGAGAAGAGCGGGCCACCCATCTCCTTTGAGTGTGTCCCTTCTGTGTGATTAGACTGAAGAAGGCACTCACTCCATACTTACTGAGAAAACAGACTTTACTTAACTTTGACCTTTGTTTGGCAAAACAAAAAATAAGCAGTGTTTATGGGCATAGGAGTTTCCAAGCAGCATATGTAAATCAGAGGGGAGGGAAATAAAGACAAGGTGGAGGGAACAAAGAGAACAAAGGGAAGAAAAGGAAGATACCAACAAAGAAGTACGGGGAAGAAGGTACAGGTTGCCACAGCTACTTAGCAAGAAAAAGCCTGTGGCTGATTTGCCATCTCTTCCTAGGTAGTGGAAATGGACCATTGCATATATTTTCAAGACATGTTGCATGTTTTCTAATATTCTATAAAATTTTCAAATATGTTAAAATGCTTTTATAAAAAAATAAGAATTTTAATAGACTTTTTGAAGTTAACTGCCAAAATTATCACTATGCTTCAATTTCTGTTTCCAAACAGAGCCTACAGTGGCCCCCTCTCGAGTCTCTGCAAATAGCCTGTCTTCCTCAGAAATCGAAGTTTCATGGAACACCATTCCGTGGAAGTTGAGCAATGGACACTTACTTGGCTATGAGGTGATTTCTTTTAAAATTAACTTGTGTACGTATGTTACCATGCTACCTTGTCTCCTTGCGCTTAAAATTCTTCTTCACAATGACATCTTAGGAAATCTGTCTTTGGTTGAAATTTTACTTTCCAGCACATTATTCCATCTGCCGATCAATGGATACTGAATTTAACTCAGCCAGTTGAATAGAAATAACATTAGCTGGGGTAGAAAAGAAACAACAACAAAAAGAATATGGAGGGAGATCACATATCACATGGCCCAGATCTTTCAGATGGGTAAACTAAAATATGAGGACAAAATTGAAAGGTAATATTGAATTGTAATGCTAAGTTCTTACGATATTTATGTCCTTAGGGTATCACTGTTCCCTCCAGCTCTTTGTGTTACTTTCTTGAAGGCCTTTTACATTGTGGGATTCTCTTCCATTTGGACAGTGCCCCAGATTTTGTAGCGAACAGCTGCAGAGAACTGGAAGCAGTTAAGCTAAGAACATACAAAATAAATAAAATCTTAAGGAGATTTTTGTCAACAGTGGTGATACTGTAGGAATCAGCATGGCACCAAGATGACCCTTTGATCGATGGCAAATGCTCTGTATACTGTTAAGCTGAGGCAGTCAGATTCTCATTTGATACATGTAAGTAAGAAATAATAGTGATTTTAGTTAGTGAGTTTAAGAGCTCACTTCAGGCTTCTCAAGCTACAGCCATGGGCAAGCAGGACAGAGCTGGTCTGCAGAAATGAGACGGAGCAAGTCTACTGCCAGGCGTCCCCTAACGAATGAAGGAGACAAAATTCCATGGAGCCTTCAAGGGAGAAAAATAGAATAGCTCTTTGACAATTGTCCAGCTCTCAAGTGGCCTGGCTGTCTTCCTTTTTATGATTCTATCTTCCCCTTCTTTCTGGTAAATTCCCTTCATATTTGAACCGCCCTAAGAGAGTTTCCCTTCCTTGTAACCAAACAAGCGTTGACTTGAGTGAATATTAACAAATGAAATAGAGAAGGGATATTATATAAAGCAGTGATTCTCAAAGTATGGACCATAAACCAAAGACACCACAGCTACGTGAGTTATCTGAATTTATTGTTAAAAGTGAGCCCCCCAGAACTCTCCCTGGATCCACTGAATCCAAACACCTGGGACTAGGTCTTGTTAATGTATATTTTGAGTAAATATCCATAAGGAAACAGACATCTTCCTGCACACTGAAATATGAGAAACACTGGTGGTGACATAGAGAGATGTGATCGGAGAGAGTCACCTGGACTTGAAGAGAGGAAAGTGGGAATGAAGGAGTGAAACACCGCATGCATAGAGCAAACAACCCGGTCAGCTTTTAAAGGAAGCCCAGAACAGTTGTGTGGAAGATCCTTTTAATCCCATGATGGTGGGAGTAAGCAATGAAAGAGAATGTGGGTCCAGCAGTTGGTCCCCAGTTGCTAGAAAATGGGCAATGGCATTGACAGGGAAGGTAAGTGGGTGGAAAGAACACAGTAGTGAGGGAGTATGACCTCGAGTGCAGAGCTGTATTTGCCATGGCAAATCCCAGTTCTGCCACTTTCCAACTGCGTTGGGAAAGTTGCACAAACTCCAGAGCCTCAGTTTCCTCACCTGCCAAACGGGGACAACAACAGGGACAACAACATTCGCCTCATTAGAGGATTGAATGAGGTTAGATGTGCCCTTTTATGAGCCATATGGCAGGATCACAATTCCTGGCCTGCTTGTGACTTGTGGAATAGTTAAGAGCAATAAATGAGAGGACATACATAAATGGCTTGCAAGATGCCAAGCATGACAAGAGTGTTAGCAGTTGCAGGCGATTGTTGGACAGCTTCAGGCAGGGAGGTGTTGATTTTCCAATGTAGTCATACATCACTTAATGACACTTCAGTACATGATGGACTGCATAGGTAACAGTGGTCCCATATTTTTACTGTTTTTTTTCTATGTGTAGATACATTTAGATACACAAATAAATACTTACCATTGTGTTACAACTACCCACAGTATTCAGGATAGTTAAGTGCTGCACAGGTTTCTAGCTTAGGAGCAATGGGCCATATTACATAGCCTAAGTGTGTATAGTAGGATGTCAATATCTGTGTTTGTTTTATACACCCTATGATGTTCATACAGCAACAAATTCACCTAACAATGCATTTCTAAGGACATGTCCCCATGGTTAAGTGACATGTGACTCTATATAAATTTAAGATTATAACAAATCATCCAGATAAAGATATTTTATAAGAGAGTACAATTACAACATTGTTTGTCATGCAAGGCAAAACAGTTTAATGGGAACAAAATCAAAGAATCGTCATAGAGCTGTCATAGTGTCTAGTTAAGTCTACAGTGTTTTAGAATTAGGCAGACCTGCATTCAAGTCTGCTAGATTAGCATATAAAGTCCACATGGGGCAGGCAACTCTGCCTGTTTGTTCACTTGTGTATATCAAGTGCCTAGAGTAGTATGTGGCACATGTGAGATGTGCACAAATGATGTATTGATGGAATAAATGAAGTTTTGGCTCTGCTATCCTACTGCTGTATGTCCTTGAGCAAGTTCCTAAAGCTCTCCAAGGCACAGTTAAAATAGAGATAATAATAGTCAATAACTCACAGCATCGTTTGAGAATTAAATGAGATAAAGCAGCCATTGTCGAAATGGTCCAAAGAGACTTGCGCTTCCACTTTTCTCTGTTTTGAATATTGAGCTTTGGGATGACATTACACTGAAAGAACAGAAATTGAAAGCCATTGAAGTAATATAGGAACACTTAGCACAATCCCAGTGTGAGACCTCGTGGCTGTAGTTTCTGGTGGTGCTGGTGTTGCCATTTAAAGTGGGAGGCAAGGCCGGGCGCGGTGGCTCACGCCTGTAACCCTAGCACTCTGGGAGGCCAAGGCGGGTGGATTGCTTGAGGTCAGGAGTTCAAAACCAGCCTGAGCAAGAGCGAGACCCTGTCTCTACTAAAAATAGAAAGAAATGAATTGGCCAACTAAAAATATATATACAAAAAATGAGCCGGGCATGGTGGCGCATGCCTGTAGTCCCAGCTACTCGGGCGGCTGAGGCAGGAGGATCGCTTGAGCCCAGGAGTTTGAGGTTGCTGTGAGCTAGGCTGACGCCACGGCACTCACTCTAGCCTGGGCGATAAAGCAAGACTATGTCTCAAAAACTAAATAAATAAATAAAGTGGGAGGCAAAACAAAAAAACAAAAAACAATGAGAAGAGCTGAGAAAAATAGGACTTTTCTTGAAGTTAATTACAGGTTGCAATGCATTGCATCTTGCCTATGTGTGTAAAGGGTAGCAAACAGAATGTCCAAATGTAGTGTTAAACAGTAGCGAAAGGAAACACCCATTAAAAATTTCTTCCTCAAGTGCTTGGGAAGCATAAAGAGAAAGGAAACAAGCTGTGAGAAAGAAGTACTAATTGTGAAAATCTTAGGAAATAATTCATGCAATTCAACCAAGATAAAAAATATGTCCTTTCCTAGTTGCAGTAATGATTTAAAAATTAACCTGGGGGGAAAAATGACTTAGCAGAGTATTTAATTATCAGTCATGTGGCTAACTTTCAGGGTTGTAGTTTCCCCAGTTTGGCTTTAAAATTGTTAATAGCTCCTGCCTTTCTCTCATCTCAGTGCGGGTTGATCATGTGCCATGTGGCATGCGGCGCACACATCATCATTAGCATCTAGACTAATTTTCTTTCTGATTTGACCAAGCAGTAGTTGAGAAGCTCATTTCCCTGGGCTCCAATTTATTTTATCTGCTAAGCCGTTACACTCAGGCTCAGATCTTTCTGGTGCCCTTTCGGATAGGAACAAGAGATGCAGACGTGATTAAGAAGAGACAGGAGCCTTGAAATTCATGAACGGTGGGTGCCTGAGGAATGAGAGCCCCCAACTTCTAGCACAGCATAAGCAGTCCTTTTCTTTAAAGTCATTTTATGGTTTCAAAGAATAAAAAGTGGGAGAATGACCTTGATAAGTGATTGAAACAAGTCTAATGAATGTGAAATGATACAGATTAGTGTATCTTGGGGGGAACCCATATATATATATATATATATATATATATATATATATTTTAATTTAGCAGAAGAACATGCTATTGTGCTATAACAGAATGCCAAACTGAAACTTCACTGTTGCCTTCTTCCAGCCTCCTGTTCCAAACACCTGTACAGAATGTGGTCGGTTCCTAATATTTTAATTAGAATGGAAAAAGATGTCAAATATTTGAGTACTTTTTTTTGAGAATGTGAAAATCCCATTGGAAAACAACATATGCATTGAGTCCGATTCCCTGCAATTGAGCAAAGAATTAACTTCATCCTAGCACAAGTCGAATAGATATGCTTAAACTGAAATACAGACCATTGAAACATATTTAAGTAAACATGAGGCAGGCAAAAATGCACTCAAGGAGTGTAATGCAGACTCCCAAAGTGTGTGCAATGGCTGGTTACAATGGAGTGGGGTTGCCCAAATGGTGCTTATTAGGCAGAGATATCTCCTACCAAAGTGTGGTTCAGCAGTGAGGGATGCAGGGAAATAAATATCCCAGCTCCTCTTTCCACCCTCCCATCTCCTGCCTCCTATTAGCTATATCTAGCGAGAAACCAGAAGGCAAAGGAGCTGGATAACATAGTTCAAACTGGCCAGCCTCTCCAGGGCTGAGCACAGAGGAAAGAAGAGAAGATAGATCTGGATTTGTCTTCTGAAAAGAACTGTAATGCACATTTGCCTGGCTTCTATTTATTTAAATGTGTCTGGTCTAACAGCTAAGCTAAAATATTTGTCTCTCTGAAAATCTGTAAGTCTAAACATAATTATTTTGGTCTATTAAGAGTATTTCCAAATTAATACCTGTTCTTTAATGGCTAAAAAACGTGCCATTTTTTCGATACATTATTTTTTGTGAACTGTATTTTATTTTAAGTTTAAATTAAGTAAAATCTCTGATGCAATGATATTAAGGACTCCTC